AGGTTCTCAAGGAATCCAAGCAACAAAAGGTATGTTCTTCTACTAGTGATTTATGATTCAAGTATCTCATAACATGCTAGTTAGGAAGTAAACCTTGGAAAATTATTATTTGCATGTATCTTCGAGAAAACATAGATCCAAGGTTTCTAGGGTTGCATGTACACCATAGGAGTGTTAGAATGCTCAAAACCCATCACTGACATGTTTGGTATTCCAACCCGATGGTTGATTGGACCAAACCTGCTTATGATATGAGGGTATTCCATCTCGAGGATGACTGGGCCTATAGTAGACATGCCTGGTATTCCAGCCCGAGGCTGATTGGGCCAGACATGAGTGTTTGTGCATGTGATTTGTTTATTATGGTATATGGTGACACTGGGTTGCTTTGTGCGTCAGTCAACAGATCATGGGTGGTTAGAAGTGTTGTAAGACTGCAATGGGATGGTAGCATTCACCAGCTGGTGGTAGACCATTGTTGAGGTGGTCATGAGTATAAAGGGAGATCAGTTCGTTCCTTGGGCACACCGTACAGGATTGTTGGTGATCGTTTCTTTGTTTCAGATTGAGGACCATTAGGGTCCGAGGCGGAGTCGGGTCTGTGTAGCTCTAGTTTGGGTGAGACCTGTGGGTGAGACTGTGTGTTTACGGCAATTCAGGTGGGACCTGGTAGAGATCGTAAGGTTGGGGTTTTGGATCTTGGTTTGCATGATTGAGTGTGTAGTCATTAAGTGGCGTAGAGGGATGCTTGGGTTAGATTATCATTGTCCTTCGGGTTCTTGTGAACCGAGTGTCTTGATCAGGTGTGAGACTGGTAGTCTCAGTGATGGTTGGGGGGGGGGGGGGTTCTTTATATCCAGGTTTAGTAAGGGATTGCCGTAATTAGAAAATTGCGGGTAAAATGCAAGTGTAGTTCCTTGGATCTCGAGTTATGGGTTAAGTACCAAGTTGGTTCGTGGTGGGAACTCGCGTTGGGAATAGTGGGTGTTTATGTGGAAGGTTTTCATTTCAGTAGGGTATGAATTGAGGAATATGTATGCTAAGGATATCTGTTGGAGGGTTCAGGATTAAAGGATGGTTTCAGTTTTGATGGCAAATCAGATTCATGTGGCTATGGTTTGGTTTGGTTCTATTTGTGTGGGTGTCAGGTAAGTATGGGGATTCAGAATTTTCAGCAGCGATATGTTGGTTCGGGAGTTTAAGGAAGCAATGTTTTGTTCAGCACTAGAAGGTTCATCTCCTAGTTTGTCTCCTGCTGTTCGTTATTCCTGGGAAATGGTTGTCATCAGGATGAACTTTCCCCCTCGAAGGAATATTTGTCCCTTTGGCCAAGTGAAAGGTTGTCGGCAGCAACGTTTGGTCTGTGAATCTGTTTTCTAGTGGGAACTTCCAGTAGTCAGAAGTTAAGTAGTCGGTTTGGGGACAAGTAGAATGGAATTAGCAACGATACGGTATGGGCGGTCTGTCAGGGAGTCAGACCAATTTGAGACTTCAGATTTCAAGATGAGTAGTCGAAATTATGTTGCATGGGATTGTTTGAGGTTGGGAAGGATTCATCAATCTTCATGTTGGAAAACCCTGCTAGGGTTGGTTTCGATTGCCTTAGGAAGGTTGTGGTATGATCGGGGTTGTGGCCGTGTTGCTTAGCTTTTCTGGCATGCCGGGGATGGTAAGGACTGATTTCGAGGACTAAATCTAATTTAAGTGGGGGAGAGTTGTAACACCATGTTCCTAATCGTTTCCTATTTCGGGGTGGTGACCAAAGATCGGGAATTATCAGGGCTTAGGACCATTGAGGAAATGAGATCTGGATCTTTTTGAATATAGGTGATGTAAGTCTAGATGATCTGGGGGTTCGGTTTGTGTTTTGGAGCCAATGGGTATTTTGGTAAATGTCAGCTCGGATTTTGATGGAAACTAGATTTCTATTCGGGAAATTTTAACGTGATTATGAGATGATATAAGTGTAGAGCTTCTCTTTACCTTTTCAAGGAAATAAGGATCGTCGGAACGTATATATAATGAAGAAGTTATGGCCTTCGGAAGAATTTAAGTTTTGGGAAAAACCCTAGTACGCGGGGCGTACATGGGGAATACGCAGGGCGTACTCATGCATTAAGTCACTTGTTAAGTCATCTAAATGTTGCACATAGCGTATTGCGTTATCTCAAAAGTACTTTGGGGTAAGGGATCCTTTTCCCTCGAGAAGGGGGATGCGTTCTTACAACCTATTGTGATTCTGATTGGTTAGGTTCTTCTCTCACCAGGAAATCTAGAAAATGTTACTTGCTTTTGCTGGGAAATGCTCCAATATCTTGGAAAACAAAAAAGTGGTATGTTGTGTCCAGTCTTCAGCGAAGGCGGAGTATAGATCCTTGGCTTCTAGAGTTAGTGAAGTTTTATGTGTACGTTGGCTTCTTAAAGAGTTAGATGTGAATGTGACTGGTCCGACTTCGTTATTTTGCGACAATCAAGTTGCCCGCCATATTGCCACCAATCCAGTTTTTCATGAATGGACAAAACATGTAGAAATAGACTGTTATTTTGTTCGAGAACGGGTTGACTCTCATGAGATACAACCCCGTCACATTGATTCTAACATGCAGATTGCAGATCTTCTCACCAAAGGGTTAAGAACTCAACAACTCAATTTCTTCTTGGCAAGTTGGGCGTTAAGAACCTATATGTTCCAACTTCAAGGGGAGTATTGAAATATGCATTCTAGTTGCTTCTTTGATTATCTTCCTATTATTTAGGAGTTTCCTTCTTATCTTTTATTTGCTATTTATATAGCCTTTATGTAATTCGTTTTTTGAGAGAAATAAAAGCAGAATCTTTTCTTCCTAAGTTAATTGATGCTTGGTTATTCTGCATTATTGATGCCACACTCCCACACACGACAATCTTTATTTGGTTTATTCATTTGGATATATACAATGCGTTTTCTTCATTTAATTTTTAATGTAGTTATAAAATATTTATGGGGCATCCATATCATTTTCTTTTGATTCTATGATATTGTTATATAGGATATGATGTATTTTATTTTTATTTACAATCGTGCGAGAGAATGATATTTGGGTAATTTCACCCATATATATGAATCGTGCTATCCGAGCACACTACACATTACCACTTTTGACCCTTTTTGTTGGGTTTTTATTTAATGAAACCATATATCATTTGGTCATAACCAGAAGTCTTAGAATAACTTATTACTGAACAATATACAACTTTTTTAATATACCAATTACAACTTTTTGTTGCACGTTCCCTATAATATTACACTTGTTTTTTTGGCTCACTTATGCATCATCAACATGTATGTTACATTTAATTAGGTAATTGTACCTATTATATGATATTGAATTCCTGATTGTCATAAAGAACTTATACTTGTCTCATATTCATTTGTTCTAACTTTTTTTTTGCCGTTCCAAAAAAAGAAATAACATTGTTCCAACTGTTACATTATATACTAGTTAGATGCACAGAGTTTTGCACATGTACATTCACAATTACAGAATTACTACAACAAAACCGACTTTCATATACAACCACTTCCTTCGATAATCTGTTTGTCTTAATTAGCGACATTTGCCTTAATTAGCGACGGAGACCATATATACACATACATATAAACATAAACACATACATATACATTCACATACATATACAGATAAACATACACACACATAACAATAAGTAGAATATATACACATAACAATAAGTACTATAGCCAGTGGCGGAGCCAGACTCAAAGCAAAGGAGTATTCCAATTTTTTTCCCAGGTATCACCACAACGGCTAAGCTAGCATAGGGCGGGTCGGGTCAGTTTTGACCTAAAACCGAACCCAAAACCAACAGCCTCGGTTTTGAAACTTTTAAAACCGAATCGAACCCAAACCCATTGGTTCGATGTTTCGGTTTTCAGTTTGTACTTGGGTTTCTCGGTTTGGTTTTGGTTTTAAACCCAAACCTTAATCGAATATTTAGCTAACTTCAAGTCTTGTTATATAAATATGAATTTGAAACATCTTTTGATATTTGAATCGATGTGGGACTCAAAGTAGATATCAAATGAAGCATGAGGATAACAAATTTATATAATAAGATAAAAATAACTGAGTTTACATGTGTTTGACGATGTGGGATAGAATAATTGGAAAAATAATAGAATAGAATAGCTGGAAAAAAAAATGTAAACAAAGGATTTGTAAGGAGCGAGAATTGATCTTAAGACCTTTGTTTTAATAAACCAACACCTTAACCAATAGACTAGTTGTTTGTTTGTGCTTAGAAGTGAAGAGATGCATATATATACACTACATAAAACGAAATTTTTCTAAAAAAATTAAACTGCCGAATTTTTTTTGAGATGTATCCCGGGATACCCCTTGGATCCGCCCCTGACTATTGCCGTGTATTAAAAAAAAAAAAAAAAAAAAAAACTTTTATAGTTAATAATTAATCAATGTATGGACGCGGTGGTTCGAAAACTTGACTCTGAAAACTTACAGAATGTAAAGATATAATTTAAGCATAGAAATGTCATGTCATGATAATAAGAATAGACAAATTACCAGATCTACCCTTTAGCATGTTGATGAATGGTGAATTAGCTACGGGTCCATAGTCAACAAACGGGGAAACAATAATTTCTCTCCTCGCCCGTGGTATAATTTCTCTAATCTTTGTTATACGAAATATGAAAATGACATAGTTTATATTATATAATGTAATTAATAGAAGACATTTCTAAATTAAATATTGTAACATAAGTTCAATAACTTAAACTTAAATCTAATATTTTCCATTAGTTGCCATGGCTACCAAACAAAGGATATTGTAAACCAGACACATATATATATATATGATCAAGAACGACAAGAAGAAAAACATTATAAAAATAAACCCTAGAAGATTGATCATAACCTAAATATATATAACTAATAATTGATGAGCATGAATGAACACTGAACGTTCATGCCATAAACGGATCATGATCGTCCTAGTCGAAGTTCCAAATCCAAATCCATCTCAATATTTCCATCTGTAAGCAAACCCATCTCCATTTCAACCCTGAAACTCTCTCTCTTCTTCAAAACCATACTTTCATTTTCTTGATCCCATGAATTACCACTAAACCCACCATCAGCATTTGCAACAAACCCCTCCATGTTCACATTCTTTCTCACATCTCCAAGAGAGTTACTATCTGAGTGTGGTAAGAATGTGAACATCCCTTGCTTGTCTTCTTTGTCTACGATTGAAGATTGTGAAGAAAGAGAGAAAAGAGAAGAATGGAAGGTCTTGTAGGGTAAGCACTGCAACCACGACGGTTGTGATGAAAAACTAGGGTTAGGGTTTGGGTTTGGGTGCTCAATAGAGGGTGAAGAGAGTCTCAATCGAGCTCTGTCCCTTCTGTGAACATTCATGTGACCACCAAGAGCTTGTGCAGATTTGTACTCTTTTTTGCAAAAGTTACACATAAAGTTTCTTTGACGCCATGAAACTCCATCATACCCATAATCGTTGTCAAAGAGTAAGGTGTTACTTTCCCATTTGCTTTTAAACTTATGATCCATTTGACACTAGAGAAGATACTTGCGGTGGTTATGAGAGAGAGCACTGTTTGAAAAATTAGACATGTAATGAAAAGGAGTATATGCATTATTTATGGTGAAGAGGTAGAGAAAGTTAGGTTGATGTAGGGGTGTAACTAAATATACCCAAAAACGGATGCTTCCGGGGTGTTTCGATATGCATTTTGAAAATAGTTATTACGTTTTTTCACAATGAGTTGATAATTAATCAGATAAATTAATAATCATATAATGAGTTAATTAAAGCTAGAGAAGGAATACATTGGAGAACGTTGTTAGTAGTATATATATTTGTTTGAGTTAATAAATTAGTAGTTTAGTAGTATCAATTTAAACAACTAACGAACTAACCGCCATGTGTACTAGTGATGTAAACCACTTTTATGTTTTTGGTCTTATTATTTCTACTAAAGTGATAGTTTAGTATAAATGTCTAGCACAAGAAATCAATCATCAACAGGTAACAGCTTTCTCTCAAAATGGTTTCTATGCTCTATGTTTGATCTTCTAGAAACAAAAAACCAATGAACTAGATCAACCGTTGATGATGTCGGTCACCATGTGAGCAACATAGCGATGGACGTTATTATCAGTTGATGCGAACTATACCGACGACCACAATGAACTACAAACTATTAGTCAATATTGTATAGGTTGTGGCCGATGTGGCAAGTGTGGGAGGACGCATAAGGGGAGTTGTCGTGAGAATGGAGGAGGTTGTTTCAATTGCGGCCAGACTGGACACTACAACAGAGATTGCATGCATGGAGCACTGATATGCTTCCACTGCAATCAGACGGACCACAAGAAGGCCAATTGTCTGAGGTTGTCGGGTGAAGCACCGAGGGCACCCGCTCCAGCTACATTGAGGATTACTGACAAACACGATGGCAAGGCGGAGGCTCCCATGGTGAGGAGTCGAGCGTTCCAGTTGACGGCCGATGAGGTCCAAGCAACGCCATATGTGGTCACTGGTATGTTCCTATTTATTCTTTTACTACTTTCATTATTTATGCTTATGCTTGTTGTGTTTGTGATTAGGGATGTTCCTAGTCAATGGTATACATGCTCTTGTTCTTTTTTATTCGGGTGCTACCAGATCGTTTGTGTCTTTTGCTCTTAGCAAAAAGTTTGATGTGGACCCGGGGGCACTAGATTTTCCTCTAGAGGTAGAGATCGCCTACGACCACACTGTAAGTGCTTCGAGGGTTCATCGGGGTTGTGTATTAGAGATACTTAAGATCTCCACAAGCAAAGTTTATAGGATTTTAATGAGGAGCGGGAAAGATGGAGTGAGGTTAATCTCATTGTTAGCGGTAACATGGAGTGTGTTTAATGGAATAGTCTTACGATTACTAGTTGTATTCCATGGTGGGTTCAATTTTTTCATTAGATCCATAAATTGAAGTAACCAAGAATTAATTTTAGATAAATAATATTTAGATTTTTTTTTCACTTAAATGTATTATATTATTTAAGTTAATGTGTTTTATAGGTCTCGAATTCAGATTCCTATTGATTTTGTTTCTATTTCACTGAGAGGGGCAAGGATCATCATGTGTATGGATTGGTTGAGTCGGTTTGGGGCGATGATAGATTGCGAGCATCAACTAGTGTGGGTTTGAACCCCAAGCGGGGGAGAACTGGTTATACATGGCGAGGGTGTTCAGCATGGACTGACTATATGTTCAGCTGCGAGAGCTAGGAGGTATCTTCAGCATGGGTGTTCAGGGTGCTTGGCATATTGTTAAGGAAAACAGATGATGTTTGTCAAAACTCGGAACAAATTTGATACCACTTGCCAAGTTCTGATGGACCGACTATATGATTAGCTGCGAGAGCTAGGATGTATCTTCAGCATGGGTGTTCAGAGTTCTTGGCATATTGTTAGTGAAAATAGACGATGCACACAAAGACACAATATTTACATGGTTCGGTTAAGGTGACCTACGTCCACGGGCAGGAGGGGCGTATTCTTTATTCACAGAGTTCTCATACAGAGATTACAAGTACAACTAGTAGAGATTCATTTTACTCACTAAAGATACAAAGGATACTTTAAATGACTTAGCATGCATCCCTATTTATACTGAAGGGATCAGACCTGAAACACTAATGAGCCAAGTCCATTGTCCCATGGAACCATGAATGGTGTCAACCAATCACAATCCGCTATGTAGTAGCTTCTAGAACATTCATCCATAACATAAAATATATAATCATTAGCAACATACATGATCGAGCACCATGAGCCATAGTGGAGCATCATGATGCACAGGTGGCGCATCATGAACACTAGTAGCCCAACATCCATCATGGTGGCACAACATGGTGTATTCCTTGAGCATCACCAACTTATGAGAATCCTTAAACAATCTTAAGCATTATAGGGGACTTTATAGCATACATGGCTCATTAGGGATACCATGGCACATCAAGGAACCAAAATGGCGCATTATGCATGATGATGGCCCATCTTGTGCAAGGATGACACAATATCCTTCAAGATTGGCCTAACTTCCTTCTAAGTGGCGCAACTTCCTTCCAAGGTGGCACAAGATCTTCCAAGTTGGCACAACTTCTTCCACTTTAGTACAATATCTACCAGAGTGGTGCAACATGGTCCAAAGCGGCGCAACATGTATGCAAATGGCGCAACATGCTTGTTTAATGGCACAACATGCTTGCCACTTAGCCCAACATTTAATCAAATGGCGCAACTATGCATCAAGTTGCTCCATTCCACTCCTAAGTGCTTCAAACCTCTTCCAAATTCTCCATACCCCTTTTTAAACGGCTTGTTCCTTTGTTACTTGATTCATTCCTTTGTCAGATGATTCATTCCCTTCTCAGATGATCCATTCCTTTGTTATATGCTCCATGAAACCCAAGTGCTTTATTGAGTTCTAAGTGCTTCATTGAACTCAAATGCTCCAAGTGCTCAAATCACATTTAACACTTGAGTTCCATGATGTGTTTCCTAAGGATTTGTCGGGAGTGCCTCCCGAATGGCAGGTGGAGTTTCGGATTGTTCTGGTTCTGGGTGTGACTCTGATAGCCAAGGCACCGTATCATCTAGCACCTCCAGAGGTGCAGGAGTTGTCTACACCAACAGGAGATGTTAGACAATAGATTTATCAGACCAAGCAGTTCACCAATGGGAGCACCGATCCTGATTGTGAATAATAAGGACGGCTCACACAGGAAGTGTATTGATTATTTAGAGCTAAACAAGTTAACGATGAAGAACCGTTATCCACTTCCTAGAATCAATGATTTGTTTGATTAGCTCCAGGGTTCATCTTGGTACTCCAAGACCGATTTGAGGTCGGGTTATCATCAGATGAGGGCCAGGGATGAGGATGTGCAAAATACGGCTTTCATAACTCGTTATGGTCATTACAAGTTTGTAGTGATGTCATTTGGGCTCACCAACGTGGTGACAGTGTTCATGGATCTCATAAATCGGGTGTACAGGTCGATGTTGGACCGATCAACGATTGTATTTGTTGAAGATATATTGGTCTATTCTAAGAACAAGGAGTAGCACGAGGAGCCTTAGAGAGAGAGGTTCTTCAGACCTTAAGGAGGGAGATATTTTTTTCGAAGTTCTCCAAATGTAAGTTTTAGTTGCGTGAGGTGCAGTTCTTTGGTCACCTCATCAACCATGATGGTATATTGGTCGATCCATCCAAGATCAAGGCAATGATGCAGTGGGAGATTCCGAGGTCTCCATCTGAAATTTTAAGTTTCTTTGGGTTAGCAGGATATTACCAGAGATTCATTCAGGATTTCTCCAAGATTGTTGTTCCTTTGACTCGATTGACGAAGAAGAACGTCACTTTTCAGTGGGGGCCTGAGCAACATGCTACATTTGAGATTTTGAGGCAGAGATTATGTGAAGCTTTGATACTGACCCTCCTCGAGGGTATGGATGATTTTGTGGTTTATTGTGATGCGTCGATTATGGGTTTGGGTGCATTACTTATGCAGAGAGGCATGTGATTTGCTTACGGTTTGAGGCAGTTAAAGCATCATGAGGCAAATTATCCTACTCATAATCTTGAGCTGGAGGATGTGGTTTTCTCCCTCAAGATTTGACGGAATTACTTGTATGGGTTCCGATTAACCATCTTCATGGATCATAATAGTTTGAAATATCTGATGGATCAGCCGAACCTGAATATAATGCAACACATATGGTTAAATGTGGTGAAGGATTATGACTGCAAGATTCTGTATCATCCTGGAAAGGCCAACGTAGTGGCCGATGCCTTGAGCCGCAAGGATACGAGTACTCATATCAAAGACCAATGCTTGAAGATGATTGTTGCTTCACTACTATTGGATTTGATTAAGGAAGCGCATATTAAGGGGTTGAAGGAAGAAAATTGGAAGAAAGAAAAGATTAGGGGCCAGATTCCTTCATTTGTCATAGATAGTCAGGGATTGTTGACTCAGTGCGGCAGGGTCTGGTTTCCTATTTCTAGGGGGTTAGGCATACATTTTTGGAGGAAGATCCAACTGAGCTTCTCAATAAAATCTTTCTTCACTTCTTTAGGAGCTTGAGACTTGGTAGATCTTATAATAAACTTCTGAAGCACTTTTGTGTGAACTAGGTGCTTCTGCCTAACTCTGAAGAATTCTTTTTTTTTTCAGTTTCTTTTCTTCTAAAAACATATCCGAGCTCAAGTTCAATGATGGGGCTTATAGGAAGATCTTCTACTCCATCCAAATCATAGTTGATTGGAGAAATAAATTTCTCTATTTTGAATAGGGATGCAAGCTCTATATCAATTTTCCAGAAGTCATTAGCATAATATCTTAGATAACTTAGAGTTGTTTGAAATGCACTCCTATTCAGATCAGTGGTTTGCCTTTTTTTGAAAATAGGTTGCAATGACAAGAATGTCATTCAGATTGATTGTTGGAAAGTCATCATCCGAGATCTTAATCTTCTTGGGAGTGTTTCATACAATGTG